CCCAGAGGACGAAAAAAGCGGCGGGCCGCCTTTGGCAGTTGGATCCCAGCCTCCGGGGTTACGAGGCCTCGGTCTTCCCCGGTCAGCCAGTTCCGTGTTCCGGCCCTAGACTCGTGGAAATGACGGTGTGCTGAGGAGATTGGCCTGCCGTTGGCTCTTCCCTTGCCCGCGTCGTACCTAAAATGGTGTAACCGCTGTACCGAGGTGAAAGAGACACCGGTCTCAACCGACGGGCGGATAGGCGAGGGCAAAAGGCAAACACGCTCCGCTTCTGTAGCGTCGGTTTAAAAATAGACCTTGTCTAATCCCTTTCGGTTTTCTTTGAAGGATCTGTGGCTGTTCGGCAACGCGGCATGTTCCCCCCCCCTTGACGTCCTTTAGCTCGACGGAAGCATTTCGGGGCGCGAGGGGGCGTGGGCTTTTCTGCTGCGCCTTGTTCGGAGTGTAAGAGCTTCAATTAAGCAAGAACGGTCCTGCCTACCCAAAATTATTTGCTGCGTAGTTCGGGGTTGGCCTCGATTGCCTTTCTGCGTCTGCTGTCATGGGGGAAATGGAAGACTGGTTTTATGTAAATATTTTTCAAAAGGGGAAGACGTGAGAGGGAACCGGTAGGGTGTTTCTGTGTTTGCAGGCATCATAAGTTCCCGTTCCGTGTGGGGCGTCACTAACTCACGATGCTTCATTCCTGGATTTTTGCTTCCACCTGGATGAGTTAAAATTAAAATGCCAGACATCTAGAGATTCTTCCAGCAGGGTACTTACTGATGAATCCGAGCCCCTGATATTTTTGAAGGACCAGAGCCTGAGCCTCCCAGAAAATAATCATCTTGAATGTTTTCCTGTATAATTTTTGTTTTCCTTTTACAGCATAGAAGTTTAGCTAGAATGTTTAAATAAACGCTATATAGCAATTGTCCTCCACGATGAATCCGAGCCCCTGATATTTTTTAAGGACCAGAGCCTGAGCCTCCCAGAAAATAATCATCTTGAATGTTTTCCTGTATAATTTTTGTTTTCCTTTTACAGCATAGAAGTTTAGCTAGAATGTTTAAATAAACGCTATATAGCAATTGTCCTCCACCTGGAAGCTCTCCAGACATGTGGATATCATTTCCCAGAATTCTTAGCAATGGCCTTGCTGACTGGGTAATTCTGCGAGTTGAAAGCCATATACCTGGCGAGTGCCCAGATTGAATAAGGTAGCTCTAGAGCAGATTTCTCCAACCTGGTGCCCTACATATGTTGTACATATGGTGCCCTACATATGTTATTATTTTTTAATAAATGTTAGTCATACTGGTTGATACCTTCTGGTTATAAATGCATATGAAGGTCATCTATTTGAATGATGCAGTTAGAGAATATTTGGGGTGAGTCAGGCCTTATATTTGTACTGTGTTTTATTTCTGAAGTTAATGTTATGAAACAAATGAGCTCTGGAAAGTATAAAGTAATTAAAAGGCACCTGCAGATAAAGGAGAATCAATGCTAGGGCAGCAGATCCATGTCAGGTAGATATAAGCCACAATGTCTGTCAGGAAATCTGAACAATGTAGCCAGAAATAACCTTCCTATGCTTCTGCTAGTTTAGATTGTAAGTGGACTCTGTTCCCCTGGCAACTTGTTATATTTAAAAGGTATTCACATCTGAGGACAATTTAGGTGGTTTTCCTATTAGATAAATTTATGTTGCTTTGTGTGTAAATTGTTATAAATTTTCAAAAGTAGCATTGACATAGTTCTTGAATTTCAGTTATTTCATGAGTTGTGCATGGTCATCAAGTTGGATACTAAATTAGATCCTCTTCCACACACTTTGGGGCAGTCAGCTTCTACAGCCTGTGCCTTGCATTCTGCTTTGGGTAGTAGAGTGTTTTCCAAAGATTAGGTCAGAAGTTCCCTCCTGGATTGTTTGGACTAGCAGAAGCAAGACAGCCTGCTGTATGACCACTAGCCTGAGCTCAGAGTTCAGAAGAACTCAGCTAAAGGGTGCGAATGAGATTTGTCTGATTTGTAAGAGGACACAGAGAGTTGCTGTATAGAACTGGCTATTGATGACAGGGAGCTAAAAGTGTTGGGATGAACTTTATTCTTTTAAAGTTGCTCCCAGCAGAGTCTGCACAGGTGGAGTCAAAATAGACAAAATTGTAGCCCTGACCATGCAACTGAAGCCCTGCCCTTTTCTGTGTATGTGTGTGTGTGTGTGAGAGAGAGACATTGATACGCATTCAAAAACATTGGGGCTTCTGTCATGATGCTGTGACTGCCATTTGGCTGTTTTGACCCCCCCAGCAACAATGGCATTTGGTATGAGTGGGGCGTTGGGTCAGATGGGTTTTCCAGTTTTTCACTGCTAAGTTACTAGCCACAAGAGTTTCCTATGTTGTCTCTCCTACCTAGCTCAACAGACTCATGTGGTAACAAGATGACTTGCAGTGCAGGAGTTCAAAGTAATTGGCTGGCTTTCTGATGTCATAGTGTTGAAGGAATGTATAATGTCATGGTTCATTCTGTGACTTTTTTTTCTCTCCTGCAATTTGGTGCTGTGAGGATTGATCTGCTGTTTAGGGGGGAGGCTCTAAGTGGGGGAGAACTTACCCCCTGCCTCCATGCCCCTTCCCCTCTCTTCTTTGATAACTAGTAAGTTCCTGTGTGAGGATAACTGTAATGGAATATGGAGATGTTTTTAGAGTTGTAACAGAAAGTTAGCCCTTGGTGATGAAAGGTCATGTGTGGCTAAGTATTTCTGGTTATTTATTTATTAAAAAAAATCCTATGGGTTCCTCCCTCAAGAGCAAGCTGATCCTTAACCTAGATTACAGTGCTGCTGCCAAGCCAGTTTGCATTCCCTAGTGGAGTTCCTTTCCAGTTCTAATTCCATCTAGGGTTATACTAATAAGGAGTCTCTTTGGATTATGTGTTTGTACCTGAATGGCTAAGGTAGAATTTCAAAGTCAATACACTTGTGAAATGTGTCCTGCTCTGGACTTGAAATGAAGGCTCTGATTGTTGCTTCACAGGACATTCTTGATGAAACTATTCTACAGGATAACCTGCATTTCAAATTCAGCATACTGGTGTGCAATGTGGTATGAGTTCTGTTTTACACAAATTCCAGTAACCTGGTGTTCCTAGTATTGTTTATTAGGTATTGTCTTAGGATTTATTTTGTATTGTCCTTATCCAAACAAGCTGTCAAGTAGCTCACAAATATTAGGATAAAGGCAATTCCCATCCTCAGGTTTACCATCCAAAAGATATATTAGATATTAAAGGCAAAAGAAATACTGGGGAGGGAAGGAATGTGATCATGGTTTAATATTTAATAAGAGTCCAGTACTTCTGATTGTACTCATAGAAATATGAGGGCTTTTTTTGGATACTGCTGGGTTTTACAAAAGCTAAATGTAAATATGAAGTAGGAGCCTTTCCATTTACTCTAATTTATTTCAACAGTTACCTGATTCTTTTTTCTGGAGATGCCCCCATTCCTGAGTTGTGTTCCTTCCCAGTGACAGTTTCTTGGTTTACCTTAAAATTCAATTATCCACATTCTTACAGCTTACACAGGAGAATTAATCTTCTAAAGACTCTTTGTACCTGGACAACATTCTCAAACTGACAAAATTCTCTTTGTAGGCATGCTGTATAGAACCTCCTGTCTAAAATGCTTGTTGTATAACTTGTCTCTAATTAACATTAGAGTCTTAGATGGCCTAGCCTCTGATAAGATATTTATTTATTTATTTATTTAATTTCTCCCTGCCCATCTCCCCCTTGTGGGGGACTCTGGGCAGTTCACACAAAACATTAAAACCATAAATACATATAAATACATAAAACCTGTGGGGGACTCTGGGCAGTTCACACAAAACATTAAAACCATAAATACATATAAATACATAAAACCTGTGGGGGACTCTGGGCAGTTCACACAAAACATTAAAACCATAAATACATATAAATACATAAAACCTGTGGGGGACTCTGGGCAGTTCACACAAAACATTAAAACCATAAATACATATAAATACATAAAACCTAAAAATTTAAAAACATTACTAAAAAAGAGAGAGTCCAAGAAGATGATGAAGGATCTGGGACTGAAGACAGCAGGCCTCTAAGGGGCTAGCCATCCCCATGCTTGAAGTATTCCTTCCCCACCCCAGGCCAAGTGACAGGTCTTCAAAGCCCTCCAGAAGGCCAGGAGTGAGGGGGCCAATCTCACCTCCGGTGGCAGAATATTCCAGAGAGCAGGGGCTACTGTAGAGAAGGCCCACCTTCTGGACCCCGCTAATCGAAGTTCTCTTACTGCGGGGGTCCAAAGCATGTCCTCTCTGTGTGATCGAGTGGGTTGAAGTCATGGGGAAGAAGTGGTCCCTTAGGTAACCTGGTCCCATGCCATGTAGGGCTTTAAAGGTAATAACCAATACCTTGAATTGGACCCGGAAGCAGACTGGTACCCAGTGCAGCTCACGGAGCAACGGCATTACATGGGCCCTTCTTGGGGCTCCAAAAATAGCCCGCGCGGCTGCATTCTGGCCCAGCTGTAGCTTCTGGATACTCTTCAAGGGTAGCCCCATGTAGAGCGCATTGCAGTAGTCATCTCCTCTGGGAGATGAGGACAGTTGAAAGGAGGTTTTTGATATTTCTATTTTATCAGTGGCCCTTTGTTCCAAATGTTCTTGATGGGGATGTTGAACCAACATCTAGCTTTTTGAATTTAAGGAAAAATGTTATTCCACTTTACTTAATACTTTCAGCATTTTATGAAGTTGAATGGTCTGGGAGCAATGATAAGGCTGACTTATGACAGCTGATTGGGTAAGCCCTTCTTTCTTGTATGTGCTCCACTACTTAAGAGGTTCTTTACATTCAAGCTACCCGTAGAGAGGTTGTAGAGCAGTGGACTGGAACTGTATGCAGCTGTGTACTCAGCCCCTCTTTTTTGTTTACTAAGAGTAAGATTCCTTTGATTGAGATCACCAAGCACTGTGATTTTTACAATGTTACACTAATATTTTTTCCCTGTCTTTTTTTTTCTTTTCCAAATAATGGCACCCTTCTCAGTAACCTAGGCTGTGATCCATGATTTTCATATTACTGGATTTGATGTTAATGCTAAAAAAATGTATTAATGTGAGGTGTTTATGGCCTTTGACTTGTCAATGATCCACCATGTTTCTCAGATTTCTCTGTGGTCTGCAAAATAGTTGAAGCCATCTTGTTTTTAAACAATGCAGATTAGCAGGGGGAATGCCATTTAGTAAACAAACAAATGTATTGTGGCTTCTGCACAAAAAATCTAACATTTTGACAGAAAAGCTCATTAATTTTTGTTGAGGTTTTATTATGACTTGTCAAAATGTTTATGTAAATAATCGTGGTCAGTGCTGTATTTTATCTTCTGCATTCCTCTGCTTTTTCTGACTGGCAGTTTAATTTTAGTTTTAATTTTCCTTATTTGCTTATGGGGCATTGGTTTTCCAGCATGGGAAAAATCCAATTTGGTTCTAAGCCTAATTTATTCAAGTCAGAGCCGGTCAGCCCCTTGGGGAGCAGGCCTGGAAATCTTTAAAACTCAGATATAGATAACTAGCACTGCCATCTGTCATAAATGGAAATAGAGGTGTGCAGAATGTTTTGAGTTGAAAACAGACATTTTGAATGTTCCAAGCATGAAACAAGTCTTGCCTGTTTTGAGTGGCATAGCATTTTGAGTAGGGACATGCAGAACATTTCTACCCTGAAATGTTCCAACCTTCAATGGCCATTTTAATTGTTCCGAGCATGAATCAAAACACATTTGTTTTGAGAGTTTTGTCTGTGTGTGAAAGAAAGTATATTCCATTTCAGGCGCAGCCATAAATGGACTGCTCTCTGTGGACAAATGGTCTAACGATGTAAAACTCTTTCCTACATCCTCTATGGCTAAGTGGGCCCAGAATACACTAATGAAAACCATTAGTTATTCCTGCTGTGGCTGAAGCTGCTAGAAAAGTTATTGGTGTAAGGCACTTTACAGAGGCTTTTTGAAACATAAAGGGTGCTTATTAAGAGTACCCTGAGTCTTACAGGTTCTGTTTTGCTCCTTTCTGTTCAGATGTGTCAGTCCTTTAGTGAGAAGTGCTCACTTTGCTTTTACTTTCTTTAATGCTTTGCTTTGCAGGCCTTCTCAGAGTCTCCCTCCCATCAGCAAAATCTGTATCTCAAAATGTTTCACTTAGTCCCTGATCTTATCTAGCCTCTTCCTTGGATAGCTTTTGGCATCTGGAAGAAGTGGGTGCTGAGCAGAGAGTGTTTCCTCCACTCTTGTGTGACCTATTTTGATGCCCTGATGCCAAATCATATTACCTAATGCAAATACCTAATACCCAGATTACATGCTGTTTAATTTTCAGGCTAGCCTTTCCAATTCAAGTTGCTGTTAATGTGTTGGGTTTTGATACCTCAAGACAGCCTTTCTTTTTGGAGCTTTGCAGTGTGATTTTCCCCCTCCCCATTGGCATGTGTGTACCTCTGATAACTGAAGGCCTTTTGAATGTAGAGAAATATAAGATGGTAGAGATGCGAGTCTAATCTCTTACGAGATTAAGACTTTTCCTTAACACTAGAGTATCTTTGTTAGGCAATACAAATCTACTGTGCAAGCTTCTTGGCAAGCCAGATCTTCCTGCCTTTCAGAAAACAAGGCTTTAGTTGCTGAACTGGTTTCCACTTAGCTGTTAAGGGCATTGTTTGTTATAGGGTTAGAGCAACTATGTATTGTCGAAGGCATTCACGGCCGGCATATGATGGCTGGTGTGGGTCTTCCGGGCTGTGTGGCCGTGTTCTGGAA